TACGTCTTTAGTACAGCCATCATCCATATTACAAAAATGACGTAATGGCTGTAGTTGAGTGTTTCGCTAATGTAGCAAACCTCACTTATCCGTCCTATATCTAGCAATGCGCTCACAATTATATCAAAGTTATCACTCATGTTGCCATAATTATAGTGTGACGACGGGTGATGGCATGATTGCCATAATAAACCTAACTGCCGTGAGAGTATAAAGGCGACTGCATGCTCACTTGCAGAATGTTCCCGCTTGTCGGAGGTCAACTTTGTTACGAAATTATATTATTTCCTGGCCAATTCACACATTGCTAAACGTTTTGCTGCCCTCGTTTTTTATGTTTAACCTCATAGAGTGTAGCTATGCTAATTGCGTTCATAGCTTTTTGCAATTCCTAAGAGGTTGTTAATAAAATAGAAAGTATTCTTAAGCTTGTTTGTTTTGTTTTGTTTTGTTTTGTTGGGTTAGGCCCTTTCGGTCGACAAGACCATTGCAGAGCCGGAAGGATGATAGGAATTAGGGGGAGACATTGGTCTGGGCAGGCACCCTAGTGAGTCGCCGGGGCTGAGCCCGTCCAGAGGACAGGCCACCCAGCCCCAAGGCACTCACTGCACCCGGCTACGGGGTGCGCTCCCTCAGGAACAGCGGTGCCGCTCCAAGGGAGCAGCCCGCATGAGATAAAGTTGCCTGTCCAGCCCGGAGGGGGGTTGCGGAGTGGAGGAGAAGGATTTCTGTATCCTGAGGATATTCTTAAGCTTAGAGAGCAAGGAAGGGTACCAACACAATATACGTTCATATATTTAGTATACTATTTTTGAACCTTTTTCTCTTTTATTTTCAGAATCTTCAAGAGGTGATTCCGTCGGTGAGGATGGAGCGGAAAATGTCGAAAATCGAGACTCTGACGCTGGCCAGAAATTACATCATGGCACTCACAAACGTCATATGCGAGATCAAAGGCGGCGACAAACCATTCTCGTGAGTATAAGAATGAAATATGTTTCTAAAAAGAGGGAGAAAGAAAAAGAGGTAGGGAAAGGGAAAGATGAAAAGGGGAGAGGAGAGAGGGGGCTGAGGATGAAAAGGGATAATAAGGGTGTGAAAAAAACGAAATAGAAGGACGGGACTCCCGTCCTTCTATTTCGTTTTTTTCGCTATGGTTTTTTTCGTTTTATTTCGCTAAGAAGACGAATGGAGATATGTTGACGTGAAAAGATATCCGCTCTCAAAATCGAAACAGGTGTTCATGAAGCTCACGCCCATTGGAAGCTTATAAAGCGTGTTTGTGTCATCACCACCAATAGATATGGCATGACAATCCAAAAGCTATTTCAGAGCCTAGACGAAAGTTCCGAGATAGCTACAGTTCACAAATAAGATTGTCCAGTAATGGCATGCCATTCATACACGTATCTATTTACAACCATTCTACTCGTAACCTAAAAACGCAGACGGTCAATAGTTATCTCTGAACTCAAGTTATGTCTTTCATCCGTAGTAGCATCTCAACATTAAACATAATCTCCGACCTCGACGGGCTAAACATTGCTATATCTCTCTGCGCATGCTGGGACTTTCAGAGATTTGAGAGTCAGTCATTAAAAACACCGCCTGCTGTCTGCCTGTCTGCTGTTCCAAGTCGTCGGAATGTATTGTGAATATCAATTGCGGACGTGAAAATATTCACGCGAGCCTCGGAAGTTTATTGTGAAGGTAAAAAGCCTTGCGGTTGGTATTCCGGATGCTAACGGACAACGGCTATCGAATCCGTCATTGCTAAAGATTTAGCAATTGGATACTCTTGGAGAAGCTTTAGCCTCTAACGCTTTAGAGTGAATGTCCATTTACCTGAGTAGTTATACGTTCCATTATTGGCTCGGTTGAGTGTTGTGGCCCGATGTCTGAAGTTGCGTGCGCAGTTTCTTCACTACATGCATGGTACACACCCGGTCTTTTCCTAATCATGTCCAACATTCTACCACTTCTGGTAGACCCTAGTTAGTGTCCTCCACTGTTCGGAAAATCCACCTCTGCGGGTGTTGTCACGTGAGTGACCTCCAGAGTTTCTGAGAACTCTCGGCTGCCCAGACTGATCGTCATACGCTGAGATCATCTCTGGAACTCCGCGGTGACTCATCACTCTGCAAGATCGACCTGCGGGCACTCAGCATTCCCGTTCATCTAGCAAACTGACAGCTATGGCTTATCTGTTGTGGTTATGTCATTGATGAGGGCATACGTATGCATACGGGTACCTATTCATATGAAGGTGATGTCTTATTCCGCTATGAGTCAAAGTGAATGAGCTAAACTAGTCCGTCCTCACCGCTAACATTGTTGTTTCTGTTCTTCCTCAGATTCTTGGACCAGTTTGCGCCCACTTCAGAGCAGCAAGTGGAGGAGGTGATGCGCAACTTCCGTCTTGGAGGAGCCTCCTCTTCTCAGACGGGCCGCCGGCGAGACCAGCAGTTATAGAAACTGTCCTGGCCTCGGGCCTCGGCCCGCCTCTGGCCCCGGTCCCGGCTTTGTCCCCGGACGGAGCGGAGAAGACGGTCAATAGGAGAAATTGTCACCACCGGTGACCACAGTCCTTCGAAGGTGCGCCTTACGTTGAAGCCAAGTCTCTTCGTCCCAGAAAGCTGTGGAGTAGATATAATTATATGAGATGTCAGCTACGTGGGGGACGTCTGTTGGAAAGCATCGACAGGCAAGCGTGCCCCTCGCGGTTAGCAGCTGATGAGGGTGACACGTGTCACCTAAGAACTACATGTGACATTCGAGATGAAGGAATAATGCGAAGTACAGTGGATAATGATGCTTCGAGAGAAACTCAAAGGGAGGGTTGTGGATGTAAATAGTTTTAAATATGTGCGTTTTCACTTGTCAACAACATGAATGCCTTGATATGTGCCGATGAACTAGAGCTGACGAGCTCTGCAGTCTTGAAGAACTGCTGACTTTAGATCTTCAAGGGCTTCAAGACATGGACAGAAATTCGGCTCAAGGGCAATGCGTTCGATGAAAGTGTTCGGGGGTTGTTGGGGTACTGTGTTTTGTCCATCCCCCGTGTGTCAGATACTAGGCCCGGGTGACCTCATAAGGGTGACCGAGTGACCTCCTAGGGGTGACCGGGTGACCTAGGGGTGAGGGGTGACCGCTGTGTGGTGAAGGTGACCATATGTGACCGAGTGAAATGTGAAAGAATATGTGGGGTTTCAGTTTGACTGAATGCTTCAATATGGAGGAAATAGTGCAATTTGGTATTTGTCGGTGATGTATAGGAGGAATTTTCGTACTGCTGGCTTTCTATGCGCAATATTTTGTTAACTTCCTTCCATTTTAAATGTATTCATCTCTGCAAATTTGCTGCTTTTACCGGTTACGTCTCCATCATGATGCATCACTATAAATCAAACTTCAGCATTTGTCTGACCACGGTCAACTAAGATTTCACCTTTCGCCTATCCCATCATACGCTCACCTATGACCTATGTATGCGCTCGAAACCAATTGCTGATGACTGAAATGCGTTTGTAGAAGCTGAGAGATTGTGTGCAGTGCCGCGAGTTGTCCTTATGTGCAATGGTAAAGTGGCTTTAAGCCGATCAATGGCGGTAACTGTCCCACGGTGAAGTCACAGAAACAACGTGATCGCTGAGAAATTATATAAGGGTAGGCTTAGATACCTCCTTCATATTTCGCCTCACTTTTGCATCGTAGCTGACAAAAAGAAAATAATTTTTAAGGGGACGGGTTATTCATATCAGTTCATCAGACAATTTTACCATTGTCAATCATTTTGATGCGCCTATAACCTTCGATGGCTCTTTTTTTTATAAATGTCTCTATCCGAACACCTGCGCTGATTGGACCATGCCATGTTCCAGTCTAATTGGAATTTCAAATACGATAAAACTGAAATTTGAAAATACATACGACGTGGCTCCACACCGATTTCCTACGACGTCTTCCATGATGTTCGCCATTGCTGTCCGTCTCGCTGAACCGACTTAGTTTGACTGAATTGAATTGCAAGGCTTGCCGAATTACCAATTCGATTGTATGAAAACTTGTTATGTTTTGTCTGAGTAGCAGAAAACTCCCTGTAGATGATACCAGTGCAAAGTCTATGGTTCAAATGTCTGTCTTCCACAACGTTCTTTGTGCGTGGTTTCGGGTTGTACTGTGAATGGTAAATTATTTTGTCAATGAAAAGTGAACGCGAGGAATAACAGAACGTCTTGTATTACTGTGAAAGTGGCTACCTTTTTGTGTAAGTCTGCATACATTTTGTTTCGAATGACTTTCTTTGTACGAAATTCATAATAATGGAAATATTTTGATCTATCACAGCACTACGTACAGCATAATTTGCTCGTTTTCTCGCCGTAGGCATTTAAATGAGTGTGTGTGCCCGTTTAAATGAGTGTTTCCCCGGAGACTTGATGCCTTATGTGGTCGTTTTACCGCTTTTTTAGACACCTGCTGCCTTATAGAAATCTGCGTTTGTGATTTGAATAATCGAGTCTTTCACGATTGTTCATCTACTAGCACCCAGAGCTCCAACTGATATTCCACAGAGAATAGAGATAGCGATTTATGCAGAAATATCCCAAGCATGAGATAAATTTTCTCTCTGCGATGGCTCAGCGTTTCAAATGCAGTGAATAAGCGGAGTATGTCATTTGGAGCTTGTCATGTATGAATATGTTGAGCTAATGTGGATATACACAACTGACGTGAAAATCCACACCGAATTCGAACTGGCCAATGAATCGAGAAGACCATGTTTGCTTACTGAATGCTGATCTTTTTGGTGAAAGTGTGTGCGAGTTTAAAGTTTGTGTCACAGAGTATATAGCTTTTGATTATTTATTCCTTTATGACCTATTGTCGAATGTGGGCTTGGGGAAGGGGTGCCCCGGATTTGGCCATTTTATGACTGTATTTTTGTAGATAAGTGCTAAATATATGGGAAACAAACATGTCGTTTGAAATGTCTGTATACGTGTAACCATCGACACAAAACGTCCTAAAAAAATTATATGTAAACATAAATCAATAGGTGAAATTGAAGACAAAAATACACACACACAGGCGGGGGCAAACACTTGATTTGTTTTTATAGCTTCTATCACTCATAAGTTATTGGAAAACACCAGGTCTGAAGTAATCTCGATAAGTTACTACGCAACAAATGACGGTGAAAGTCTCGGGGATTTAACCGTATAATGCCTATACAGCACGAGGCCCAGCTAGATCGTTTTAGAAGCCCAGTGAGGCCAGAGGACCTGTGTTACCCTCTGAAAATGGTGTGGGGCTACAGAGGCCAGCAGCGCCTCTGAGGCCTTGGATCCTCAGAAACCGGTACCCATGGGCCGGTTTCTGAGGATGGGGGACCATCAGAGGCCGCCTATGGACATGCGCTTCTGTACAATGTGCATACACGCACATTACATGAGCTCCCAGAGCTCAAAGCCCTCTAATTCATAGAAGACGGAGATCCTATGCTCCAAAATCTCAAGCCGTGTAAAGTCGTTTCAGAATTCAGAAATCAGAAACAATCAGAAAGAAGTGTTTCACTCGAATGAATCGAGCTCTATAAAAGTGATTCGGGGCAGATGGCAGCACTATCCACGAGACAAAATAAGTATTTCATAATACTGACGCTAGGTGGCACGCCAGACGCCACCAGATGTCAGCAAAGTAGCACCTTTGTTGGAATGCCCGAGCTGACCCTTTACATTCTCATTCGACCTCCTATCACCACACTCCACAGATGAGTATTTTGGCGCCCGAAATGTGTTTTATGCATCCAACGACTTGAACGTAGCTTCACAACTACACCTGACATTTCTGCGGGGTACTGCGGGCTCGGCTCGGGACCTTTTTGAAGACAACAGACGGCTACCGGTGCAAACGCGATTGCCTTTCTGAAACCTGAGCAAGAAGCATCCGCAGTCCGCACACCTTGCAATGGAATGGATATGGAGATTGCTAGAACGGGAGATTCTACGGACCCTCCAACTACATGCAGCAGTCAGCACTCAGGCAAAGGTGGCATATCTAGTGATTGCGTTCCTTGTAGGCTGCTAGCTCTGGACCCGTTCCGCCTGTGCTAGCCAAAATAGTTTCCTGGGCACGCCCCTGCCCACGGTTGTGTCCAATCGAGCAGGGGGCGGGGCAGTGCGACGCAGGCGGCCGTCGCTCGCGGGGCGATGCCGGACGGGCCGGTGCCAGATCGTGTTGGTGGGTTCTTAGTTTAGCGATCAATCTGTGTGGACAATGAAATGATTCCATAGTTACTTGTGAAAGCTAGAACATCTGATGGCAGCAGAATTACTAGGCAGGCTCATAAAATCTGATTGACAAGAGAGCTGTTGAGTGCATTCAAAATAATTCAGCTGGCATGCTGTTGCCAACAGGGTATTTGGCAGTTTGTTATTTTAGCGTGTTTTGTTTTGACGCATTTGCGAGTGTGGAGGTGGTGCCGCTCCATCTTGATTGTGATACTTTGGGTATAAGTGCATTTGTTAGCAAATCTTTTAGTGTGATCTCGTCGCGTTCTGACAGTGAATTGAATAAATACCTCACTTGCATTTGAGTAGCCTTGGTAGAGGCTCCTCTGGCCAGTTCACAAAATAATGGGAGCTTGAGGCTGGGGCGCTGTGCCATGGATACGATTTTGTCAGGTATGTATTCGTTTAATTTGGGATTTTTTGAATGTGTGTGTGTCTTTATTGCTTCCGCTTCGATGAGAATTTTTGTTTTGGTATGTTTGGTTCGAGACAGAACGGTAATTATTAATTAAAACCCGTTGGGACAAGTGCGCCGATTTGAGCATCATTTGCAACGCAATGTTAGCATGGGCGAATATCGTAAATATTTTACCGTTTCATTTAACATTCACTTAATATTAAGTTGTAAATTAAGTTCCATACTCATGTACATGTACTGTCAACATATGTTTCAACATGCAGCTTGTTTGTAGTTATTTGTTTTCAGTTGTCCATCTGGTCTGTATTTAGGTACCGTCAAACGGGGTGTTAAGGGACATTTTTGAGGTGTTTTGTTATATAACTCAAGAAGGGTTGGAGATAGAAGCATCAAATTGTCAGCCTTTTATGTCGAATTTGGTGCTTTACATGCCTGCCACATTAAAGTTTTTAAGATTTATACCTGCATATTATTTTTTATTATTTTTCATCACTGTCCCTTAGCACCCCAATGTGGGGTGTTAAGGGACACCTATATTATTCCAAGAAATAGTCATCAAATGCCCACAATTGGGGTGTGGAAGGGCACACAATTTATTTATTGAAATGTTTTGCATATTCTGTCACAAAACAAGTCAGGTTCATTCACCACTAATGACCTTTTTAGCCAATTACGTGTAATGCAGTTTACGCTTGTGGAAAATGTGCTAATTATAAGGTAAACAGAACCAAAAAGTACCCTTCTGTCATCAATAAAAACCCATGTTGAAGCTAGTCACTTGTCATTATGTTGCCCTCTCTGTTTTAGCCTTTTTATGATGACATCACATTTACCTACATCAGTCTCCATTGACCCATCATTGTAAAAGAGAGTGTTGAGATGTTTTTTTACATAACTTAAGATGTGTTAGAGATAAATGCATGAACTTGCCAGCATTTTATGTGGAATTTGGTGTTTTCCATGCCTACTGAAAGAAAGCTTAATGAAATTATATTTAGATATTATTTCTATTTTTTTCTTCCCTGTCCCTTAGCACCCCACATCCACCTCAAAATATGCATGTATCCGGAAAAGATGAAGAGGATGATGAATGAATGGGTGAATTTGCACAAGTTTTTCAGGAAACATGTGCAATACATGTGACAATACACCTATGCATTCATTTTCCCTGTACACCCACTAGTTTATGTGGTACACACAGAGTTTTGGAGATGTTTCAATTTTGTGAAAATGTAGCATGTTTTTCAAATCCATTTTTGAACCAAATCACCTGCATGAAAAACCATACCATTGTATCCTATGGTCAAGAGCAAAACAGTGTCGACTACCACACTTAAGTTTTTATTGAACCTTCTCAAATTAGGAAGTTAATATGACTCAAAGTTTTTCCCATGCAACTGTCCCTTAGCACCCCACTGTCCCTTAACACCCCATTTTACGGTAAGCACTGAGTGTTGATAGCGGTGGGTTTACAATTTACATCATCACATTGACACATCATTAATCTAAAATTGCTATATGATAGATTAAAATGAGAATAATCATACCTTAAAATTTCGTGGAATGGTTAAGAAAAAATCCGGATCGGACCGATGGGTGTTTGAACACCCCCCCCCCCTCCGGTTTTTTCACGAGCATCTAAGGAGTCCCCTCCGTGGCCGAGTGGATTAAAGCGCCGGAGTTCGACGCTTAGCCGGTGGTGAGAGCCCGGTTCAAGCCCCGGTGCGGGCGGCCACATTTAGCTCCTACGTGTAATGGCGTGCGTGTCTGTGGCAGGGGCCGCACAGAAGCCAGGTAACGTGAGTGAGCGGAGGGGGCCGTGTCCAGTCGTGAGGGCACGTTAAACGTTCGGACTAAATTCTGCTATACAACTGGAATTGCGCGATCGGGTGGTGGGGTCAGGGTCAGCACAACAAGCTATGCTTAGTGCGGGCTCTGATTCCTCAAATCCACCCATTCAACCATTCGGACTAAATTTATTTAAAAAAATCCATGGAATTACAATCAGAATTATTAGAATTTTTGACTCATGATGGTATTTTAGTTGAAATCATTGATGCCTGTTCCAGGTGGGCCTGACAATATGCTGTGTAGGCGCTGCCAGTCGTCTTCAGTGGAAGGCACCAAGGCAGCGGTCTCCTCTGATTCAGGTGGGTTCGTTGACATGCTGGTCATCTTCGTGTCAGTTTTATTCACATGTTATAGCTCTCCTCGGCTGTGCATGGTTTTACTACTGGTTCGGATCGGTTTATTATTTTTTGTGGAATGGTTAATACAATGCATAAGACTTACTGGGGCCGATGAATGAACCGGAAGAATTAACCGGGCACCGGACCGATGGGTGTTTGAACACCCCCCCCCCCCTCCGGTTTTTTCACGAGCATCTAAGGAATGGCAGTGCAGAGCGCCGCCATTCTGGGGACACCTGTTCATGAATCTTTTCTGCACGTGTTCTGAAAAATTTAAACCCAGGTCGCTCAATTTCTGGTCACGTGAAGTGACATTACCTCAGAAAAAGTTAACATGCTCGCGATAGGTACACCAACTGAACAATCACTTTGAAATTTTCAAGAAATGATAATATGAATGTCAGTATGTATAAAATTCATGCCTCAGAATTTTATGTCGGTGTTTTAGCTTTTGTGATAAGGACTTATTAGAGCAATTAAACACATTAGAGGTGTTCAGGTCGACGATACGCATCAACATCTATGTAGAATGACTTTCCGGTCAGATCATGACCTTGACCTTATGTCGACTCTTCAAAATGACCTTTTAAGGTCAAATTGTATTTAATTCGACCTATCTCGACCAGAGGAACACGATGCTGGTAATAGCAATGCAGTGCCTTTCTTGAGTCAAAAGTTATTATAGAAAAAAACATTTTCTGAAAAATTGCTGATCTTAGGTCAGATTTGTGGACAAACTCCAGAAAGCGCGTTAAAAGCAACATCGGATGTGCTTTTCCGCGGCGCTGTAGCTCTATTAGCTGCCGGGGTCTGCGTTGATTTGTGACAATGTGTTGAAATTCATAGACAAAATTTTAAATGGATCATTGATGACTTCTGGTGACCTTATCTTTGACATGACCGAAAAAAGGACTGGAATACTTCAATCAAGATTTTTATGCTCTTTTGAATCCCGCTTGTCGCTTGTCGCTACGCGGCGGCCCAGGAGCCGAGTTAGGGGGGCTAGAGCACCCCCCCCCCCAGCCCAGCGTGGTTGCACCGAGGACCCTGTCACTGAGCACCGGCCCGGCACGGGCT